AAACAGAAACAGTTACGGTGCTCCGCCCATGCAGCCAGGCAGGACGGCAGCGGTGCGTGTCGTGCAAAAGAGAGCACCAACGGGCCTGCATGGGTGTGCATGCATATATACAATGGGCACATTATGTGTGTGCCTCGTGGGGTGAGGTGAAGGCGAGAGTCCATGCAAGGGGACACACACAGAGAGAGAAGGACGAGTGTGTGTGCGGGCGGTGCACGGCTCTCTCACACTCACTCTCACGCGGCCACCGCAGCAGCAGTAGCCGCACACGCAACAAAAAGAAGAAGCAAAAGAGGGGAGGTGGTGTGGGAGACCGCGGTGCTGCTGTCACTGTCGCAAACCTTTTATTAGCGCCGGTTTGGCGTTTTTCTGTCAATGCAGCATCCGGAGTTCGAGCATCCTCAGTTGTCTTCGTCCCTGTGGAGTGTTCCTCCTCAAAAGGGGAAGGTTCTTCGCTTGTAGATGGCTCAGTTTCTTGTTCTTGACTGCCAGTTGATGTACTCTGCGCCGTACCTTCCGTGGAGGCAGGATATTCTTTATTTTCCTTTTGTGTTTCGGGTAGGTTCGTGGATGTATCCGTGCTTTGGCTTTCATTTGTCTTTTGTTCCGGAGTTAACACTTCATTTTGGGTTTTGTGCTCCGGCGGTACTGTGTTTGGCACTGTCGTTTGGACCGGTTCACTGCTTTCTGATTCTTCACCTGGACTCTTTAATAAGTCTTCTTCTCTGGGGTTCTCTGGATCCTCGTTTCCAATATCTTGTGCTCCCAATGAGGACTGACCTTCTCCACCCTTACTGTTCTCGCCAACACCTTCACCCTTTGTGAAGCAGGAGTGTGTGGCTGAGGTGCTGATGGCGGTTGTGGCTGCGGTTGCTGTAGTACATTTAATTGCGCTTTTGGCGGTTGCCCTACTTCCTGTTCTTTATTTTGTATTTCTGGCTTTGTTTTTCCTTGTTCTGGAGCATTTTCCAAACGTTCTTCTAATTGCTCTGAAGGGCTTCTATCTTCACCCTCCACTCCAGGAGCAACAAAAAGTTGATCATTTTTAACTTCTTTTCCTTCCAAAGATTTTCCTTCAGACTTTTCTGTTGATTGATTAACCTTGAACAAACCTTTTGTTGGATCTGAGCTATCTGATCCCGGCGTTGAATTTAAAGTCGACCCCACAGCAACTTTACCACCACCGACAGGAATCTCCACCACCTCCTCGTCACATCTACCGCCGGCACCGCACCACAGCACGCAGAGGGCACACACCAGCAGCACACGGCCAGTCATCATCGCCATCATCACTCCTGTCACTTGCGTTTAGCCTTCAGCACAAACCAACTCCCCATCAATGCAGAGCAAAAAGCAAAAGGAGAGACACGTCACTCAATCACGCACAGTCACAAATGGCAATGCAAACACCATGAGGCAGTTGGAATCAGTACAATTGCAGAGCTCGCACATCGCTCCCCAAACCAAAAGTTAAAAAAGCAGTAAAAAAGGCACAACAGCAGAGTTGAGAGTCCGGTAAAATTCCCCAAAAGTAAAAAATAAAAAATCGATCAGGGACGTCCTTTATTTTATGTGCCAAGCAGCGCAACGTAAACGACCACTAGTTCTTGTATACGTAATGTCTGCAGTAAAAAATCAAAAAATATCGTGCTTTTCTGTGAGCCCACACAACTCCTCACACTTCATTGCGGCATCCAGTCTTTTCTTCCAATCCTCCTTTCGTGCAGTCCGTGGGACGCACAGCAATGAGGCCGGCACCGCGTGTGGGCAACGGAAGGAAACAAGAGGAGAAGCACGTCACTCATGACGAAGTGCAGCAAACGGACATTGGGGAAAAACACAGGGATACCGATTATTCCAATAGGGCAAAAGCAGCAAAAATGAATAAATAAAAGAAAATAAAAAAACTTAAATTATTGACAAAACTCAGTGGGCAATGCTGGCAAGCTGCACAGTTATTGTTCCACAAAAAGCCGTAATTCCACCCTCCCTCACACCTCAGCAGAGCGCCACAGTACCCCACAGCCCCAGAATCAAGAGCAACATCACCCGAGACACACACCCATGCACGGCGATGTCACCAATTTCAGCCATAGCCAACAAATCCGTGAGATGCCCCTGCTCACAAAAACCGTTGCTCACAAGTGATGCTGCGTTGTGATCCGATGGGATCTCTGGTTTCCCAGAAGTTGTACGCAAATAATCCTGTGCGGCATCACCGCCACCCGACACGTTACCACTCGTTCAACAATTGCTAGGACTGTGCTGGGCTCAGGCGTGGCTGTTGTACCATCCAAGGGCATTAGATCACTGTTGCTGCGTGAATCGGGGCCGCTGTCCGCGCCCACGGCAGTGCAGGTATAAGTCTCCTATTCATGGCCAACGTCTTGTTACTCGCTGGAAACTGTGTTGGCGGTGGACGGCTCTTCTTCTCTCGCTGTGCGTGCGTCTGGATCCACTGCGCTATTATATGACTCCACCACGACAAATGATCTCCCTGTGGAGGTGCATCGTGCAGCAGCTGGCAGCCTCGCATGCTCATATAGGGCAGACTGCCTTGCGATCGAAAATGTTTTTAGACATCTCATACCTCCTTGTCCGGAAACATCCCAATCGCCCACACGAATGCTGGAGGAAACGGACTCCCTCTCGGCAATGGAGGCACCCCGCCTTGGACCGCTGGCGGTGCACGACGACGTCACTGAGTAAATTTGGATTATGCTGCTTTCCTTGGTGAAGCGAGGTCACCCTGTGGATTTTACATTTTCCCATCACACTGCGGTATTCCACGCAGTGAGGCCGCTGACAAACAAGCCACGATTGCACGATCCCTCCCGCAGGACTGCGTCAATGCCTGGCACGTGGACCTCCCCACCTCCGTCAAGAGTTTATAATGGAAGGATGCCCAGGAGGAAAAGGAGGGCGCACACACCGCGTGACAGGCGCCCGTCGGTGTGGCGAGGACTCTATTCCTGGTGTTGGCCCGGACATCGGTCCCCGAGTGGCGGCACTGCGCAAAGGCGCGATGCGACGCCTGCCCACTCTTCGACAGGCCTGCACGCGCCCTGCGGATCACAAGGAACCCTCTGTGTCGGTGGTGCCGTCCCTCCCTCACTGCGGTGACCGGCCCGCCTCTGCCTCCGCCGGAACCTCTTCCCGAAGTGAGCACCGCAACTCCTTGTCGACCGGCGAGCGGCGGATTGACGTCCTCCTGCCCAACCTGCGGCAGAGCACGCTCTTTCGTCCACAGTATGAGGGCACATGCCGGACGTGCTCAGCCTGGCGTTATAATAGTTAGCGAGGGCCTCCCATGCGGATGCCACAATGGCGCCACCGTCTTCTTAACAGGCGCCTCGCGCGCAGGTCGCCGCCGAAGTTGCCAAGCATGCCGGCAGGCAAGACACGCAGGAAGCACAAACGCGGGTACTCGAGATGGACCAGGCTCTTCCGCCACCGCCTCATCACGGACGCCACGGGCTGCTGATCCCCGACGGACCACGGGAGACTCCGCCTCATCCACTGCGGGAATGCCCTCGTCGTTGGGAACTGGGACTGCGACTGTTTGTGGGACTGCCCCAGCCCGCACGACGGAATACTTGCCACTTTTGTACGGACGGTCCTTGCGCTACTCACTCGTTATTGTAGCAGCATACAACCAAAACAAGATAACAATCTGCTTTGTGGTGAATATTGGCTGCACTTCCCGTGGACCAACAATCCGCGTGGTGTGCGGGGATCTCTTTTTATTATTTTTACTTTGCTTTTGTGTTGCTGTGTGCGCTGCACCTTCTTGTGTGTGTGCGCACCCTCCGTGAGGGGTGCCGACACGACGGACCGCTCTCGCCGTATGTGCATGCGGTGGAGCCTTGTGTGCCGCTCCTGTTTGCTTCTCCCTCCTCCATCTGTGTGTGTTGGTGTTGCGGCAGGGCTGTGTGTGTGTGTGCCTGCTGCCGTGGATTGGAGTGTGTGTGGTGCGTGGTGTGCGGCGTACGGTGCATGCCTGGCTGCTGCCCTCTCCTCATGTGGTGTGCCCTCTGTGTGTCTGCCGCACCTCTCGTCTCCCCTGTTGCTCTCCATGTCCCTCACTGTGCAGATCAGCTCCACACCACTGAACGACCACACTCACGATGATGATGACGTGCCGTCTGCTGTGCGCCCTGTTGGTGCTCGCCCTGTACTGCTGCTGCCCGTCCGTGTGCGCGACAGCGAGTAGTCAGGATTCAGGTGGGGACGGCCCCACTTCTTCGGTTACTCAGTCACAGGGAACAGGTGTTTCAGGGGTAACAAATACTTCCACGACGTCAAGTTCAGCAGCTGCGGCCGTTGCGTCATCGGGAAAAAGTGGAAAGTCCGATGCGCAAGGGGCTCCAGGTGCGGAAGAAGCTCTGCCAGAAAATCCAAGTGGGGCGACCGCTCTGGCAGGAAGTCCAGGTTCAACAAGTCCGGCGCCTATTAAAAAAGAGAGTTCAGGTGGATCCGGCAGTTCAGGGGGTCCAGTTCCGGTGGCCGATACGGTACAGAAAAATGGCGAAAACGATGCGAGAGGCTCAAAAAGTGGCAATAATCCATCCACACACCATGCAAATACGAATGCCGACGATTCGGCCAAGAAGACCACGGCGGATACTACCACTACTACGACAACAACGACCACGACCACTACTACAGAGGCACCAAGTACTACGATCACAGAGGCACCAACCACCACGACGACCACCCGCGCACCGTCACGTCTTCGCAGAATCGACGGCAGCCTCAGCAGCTCTGCGTGGGTGTGTGCCCCGCTGCTGCTTGCCGCATCCGCGCTGGCGTACACCGCTCTGGACTGAAGAGGTGTGTGCGGGCTGTGCGTGCCAGCACTCAACCGCGGGGATTTGTGCGTGTGTGTTGTGGTTCACTGTATAAAATAATAGAAAATAATGATTGTGTTTTGCTTCACTTGCTTCTGCTGCCGTGCTGTGTGCTCCGCGTTGTGCCCCGCATCCGTCACGTTGAACGCATCGCGGACACACTCATAAGCATGCGCACTGGAGCCCTGGGTTTTTTTTTTATTTCTGTTTTTTAATTATTGTTTTTTATTGCTTTTTGAACTTCTGGTTTGCGGTGCAGTGTGCGAGCTCTGCAACCGTACTGACTCCATGTGTCTCGTGGTGTGTGCGCTGCTGCTGCTGGGGTGCTGCCATTTGTTGCTGTGCGTGGTGTAGCGGCCGTGTCTATCTTTTTGCTTTTCACTCTGTTGACGTGGTGTTACTTTTGCTGAAGGCTACACGCAAGTGACAGGAGTGCTGGCGATGATGACTGGCCGTGTGCTGCTGGTGTGTGTTCTCTGCGTGCTGTGGTGCGGTGTCTGGAATTGCGGCCGATGATGCTGGCGGTGGCGATGTTTTTGTTTCTGGTGGGGACAACAAAAAATTGGAAGAAACGGAATTGTCATCCCCAGTCATACCGGGCGTGGAACCACAGGCGCCAGAAATTAAAGAAGAATCACCGACCCGACGCTCAGACGATGTTTTGGAAGAAAAGGATGAAGTCGTTGCTGAGCGAGATGAAGCGGATCGCCGTGGAGTTGGAGTTGATGGTGAAAAAGGGAAAACCGTTCAAAAAGGAGGAGAAAGGGTGTCTGAAGGCGATGCACCAGCAGAGGCGGAATTGCACTCAACCGACGATGAGATCTTACGGCGGCCGTCACCGAATGGAGCAAAAGGAGGTGAAAAAACGATACCCTCCGACGACACTCCGCCAGACGGAAGAGTTCAGCGACGACAAGAAGATCCACCGAGTTTGTTGCAGAGTGAACCCGGTGATCTCGCGAGTGGAAGGGGAGTTCCGCCGGAATCCACGGAACATAAACCACCCGCATCAGGAAGCCCAAGTTCAGAAACAGAAACAACGGGAATTCAGAAGGTATCAACACCCACGCATGTGCGAGAATCCCCGAGAGTAACGGAAAAAGACGTTGTTGCCACTGAACATGAAAGAGAAGATAAAGAAGGGCCTGTAAGTAATCCAATTAAAGTGGCAGACGTGCGGTTGCCTGAGCAGCAGGAATTGCGGTCAAATTCACTGGATGGGACCCAACGAGTTGAAACGGGGGTACGCCCAATTAACAGTTTGCCAGAGGATCAAAATAAACAACGAGTTTTGTTGAATTTGTCGCAGGGTGAATCAGCCAACGATACACCGGAAACAACTCCGCAATCCTCTTCTACAGGTGGACATCGTGTTGAGAACAGTCGTACGAATGGAGATGGCGCGAAGAATACTGAGGGGTCAGCTGCCGGAGAAAAGAAGGACGACAAGAAAGGTCTCGAAAAAGATGTTGTTCCGACAATCAGTGAGGGAAAAATACAACCGCCAGTCACGACAGCAGCTAGCACGAGTGAGACGGCAATAGATGGCGACAGTAAAGGCAGCCCCACAGCAGCTATGGCCCTGCGGTCTGACGATGACACAGAAGGCAATCCGGCCAAAAATGGCTTGAGAAAACCCTCCAGTGAAAGAACCGCAGAGCTCAGTACGAATTCCGATACTGAAGACGCATCAGACAGCGCGGAGAAGGCTGCCGCTCAGAATGCAGGAATCCCAACAACAAAAGCAATCGCCACAGCCAAAACAAATGACACAGCTTCTCATGGCGACAGTGACAGCAGCACCGCGGTCTCCCACACCACCTCCCCTCTTTTGCTTCTTCTTCTTGTTGTTGCTGCTGCGGTGGTGGCCGCGTGAGAGTGAGTGTGAGAGAGCCGTGCACCGCCCGCACACACACTCTTCTTTCTCTCTCTGTGTGTGTGTCCCCTTGCATGGACTCTCGCCCTCACCTCACCCCACGAGGCACACACATAATGTGCCCATTGTATATATGCATTCACACCCATGCAGGCCCGTTGGTGCTCTCTTTTGCACGACACGCACCGCTGCCGTCCTGCCTGGCTGCATGGGCGGAGCACCGTAACTGTTTCTGTTTTGTTTTTATTGCATTGAGTGGGCGACCTCTCTCTCTCTCCCTCTGTGTGTGTGTTTTGCTTTACGGGAGTAATGAGAGTGTGTGTGCGCTGGTCGTCCCACGCTTCGGCTTTTTGTTTTGTTTTTCGTTGTTTTGTGGTTGAGTGCACCCATTCCGTGGCTGCGTGCGTGTGTGTGTGTGTGTGATGATATGAGTAATTTGCGTGTGTGCTATCTGCCTCTCTCTGCCGTTGCTTTCTTCGGACTCTCTTGTGGCGCACAGCTTCTCTGCAAGTATAGGCGCTGACGAACAAACAAGCACATGCACACACACATGCCGTGTTTAAAACGCTGAGAATGCACGCACGCACAGGATTGTGGCTGCGGAGGCCCTCGTGAGGAGAGAAGAAGCCCGCGTTTTGTTTTTTTCACATGTTGCGCGGTGTGTGCTGACGCGTGACGAACGACGCACCCGCCGTGACTCCTGCTGCTGGTGGTGGCGGTCGCTGTGTGTTCCCGGTGCACTGTTATTCCGCCTCGTTCCGTGTGTCTGTGTGTGTGAGTTGTTGTTGTTGGGAGTGACTGTAGCGGGGATGATGATGCCACTCACTGTGGATGGCGGTGCCTATTCTTTCACCCATATTTTATTAGCCTGTTTTTATTCATTTTTTTCTCACTCTCTTACGAAGAAAGCAAACAAGCGCTAATTGCTACTGTGAAATTGTAAGGCTCTGAAAGGACTAACAACAGCACACACACCGCCCACACACACATATTTATATGCTCTCACGTGTTGCTGCAGTTAAGGCACCCCGCACACACAACCGTCGCCGCGTGACCGGATCCAGCGGAAGGAGGAGGGAAGGAAGAGAGAGTGAGCCGCAGAGGCCCAACATGTCCCGGCGTGTGTTTACTTCCGCGGTGCTGCTCCTCCTCGTCGTGATGATGTGCTGCGCCATCTGTGGTGGAGCTGCAGCCACTAATAAGGGGACTTCAACTCAGGGAACTTCACCGGAGAAATATTTTGATTGGAGAGATAAAAAAGAAGGAGAAACAGTGAGTTTGCTCCGTGATCCCAGTCTTGTTGAGGTGAATGGTGATGTGTTTGCCGTTGCCGAGGCGCAGTGCACGGAAGCCAGCAAGAGCGGTTTTACTGGGATTGCCTCGGAGCTCTTGACGTTAACTGATCAGGAATCAAAAGAATTGGGTACAGCCCAAGTGAAGACACAAGTACTGGAGGAATGTCCTGCCCAAAATAAGAATTGTGCCCCCCATTCAGAAGTTTCGGCTGGTTTTCAGAGTAAGACGAAAGTACATATGAGCCGGCCAACAACAGTTGTGAAGGGAAGTGATATTCACATGGTTGCTGGAACCTACAGTTTTGAAGTTACTGAAGGCGTTGATCAGACAGCTGCAGCAGCTAAATGGGGGCTTTTGGTGGCGAGCGGCAACGTCAGTACTGAGGGCAGCGATAAAAGAATTTATTGGAACGACGCTTACGTTATCCCGTCGACTTATTTTGAAAAGCAACACGAATCCTTGACACGGCTGATTGGTGGCGGTGGATCGGGTCTTAAGATGAAGGACGGTACGCTTGTGTTCCCAGTGGAAGGCACGAAGGATGGAAAGACCGTTTCGCTGATCATATACACAGCCACTGATGGTGGGAATCTGTCGAAGGGGATGTCTGACGATGGCTGCAGTGATCCCTCCGTCGTGGAGTGGAAGGACAAACTCATGATGATGACTGCGTGTGGTGATGGCCGCCGCAGGGTGCACGAGTCCGCCGACAAGGGGGATTCGTGGACGGAGGCACTCGGGACACTTTCGCGCGTGTGGGGCAACAACCAAAAGGAAGGTAAGAGACGCGGGAGCGGTTTCATCACAGCGACGATTGAGAACAGGGACGTGATGCTTGTCACTCTGCCGGTGTATGCCAAAAAGGAGAAAAATGGAAACAACAATGGAAAGGGCGTACTCCATCTTTGGCTGACGGACAATACGCACATTGTTGATATTGGGCCGGTATCCGGGGAAGCTGAAGACGTTGCCGCCAGCGCCCTGCTGTACAAAAGTGGTGCAATTAAAACTGATAATGAGAAAAAGGAGGGGTTGATTGCACTGTACGAGAAGAAGAAGGGCGATGCGGAATCATCACTCGGTATGGTCTCTGTGCGTCTGACTGCGCAGTTGAAGCGGGTGAAGGATTTGCTGGCGACCTGGAAGAAAGCGGACGAACGTGTCTCCAAGCTGTGCCTCACTTCACGTGCCACGGTGAGTAAATCAACTGACACTGCCTGCACTACTGGTAAGATCACGGCTGGGCTGGTTGGCTTTTTGTCCGG